ATTGGGCAGTTTGTTGGGATAGTAATCATGCATTTATCCTACTGCTCAACAAGTCTACTCCTGGGCAGTTATCACAAAGAGATAAAACCACATATTCACACAAAAAATCTATACATGAACATTTGTAGCAAGTATTTTCCTAATGATCAAAGCGTGGTGAAACAAATGGTGCTGTATTCACGCCACTGAGTATTATTCAGCAGCGCAAAGGAACTAACCACTAAGACGAGCAACAACCCGCATGAACCTCCAGAAGACTCTGCTGAGTGAAAAACAGCTAGTCCTCCAGCACCACATACTGCATGGGAACTCCTACATCGCATTCTTGAAATGACAAAATTATAGAAATGGAGACCAGATTAGTGGTTGCCAGAGCTTAAGAGGATGTTGGATTGGGTGGGGAAGTGGTTGTGGTTCTATGATCCCGACAGGATGGAGGGATTCTTGTGGTGATGGAAATATTTTGTATCTTGGCTGGATCAGCATCAGTACCCTACATTGCAGTCCTACGTATTACAGTTTTTGAAGATGTTATCACTGGGAGAAACTGAATAAAGAATACAAGGACTCTCCCTGTATTGTTTCTTGCAACTAGATGCACATCTATAACTATCTCAATATAAAAAGATTAATTTAAAGAACACTTTTGCACAGCTGTTCGGTTCTGCAGGTAAGACACTGCTTTAGACACTAACATTTCATCTCAGAAAGTCTGGATTTAAGCCGTGGATCTGCTTCTGATTCCAGCTTCCTTCTACTGAGCACCCTAGGAAGCAGCAGGTGATGGCTCAAGCACAGGTCCCTGCCATCCACAAAGGAGACCCAGATTTAGATTAGGGCTTCTGGTTTCATCCAGGCCCAGCCTCAATTGTAGCCATTTGTGGAATAAACCAGTAAATGAAAGATATCTCTGTCTCTCTCTTTCAAATAATATGCAAATTAATAATTCTTTTAAAAAACAGAAACAAAAAATATTCTTATGCCTGCATTGCAGCCCATACCTATTCAATTACAATGCCTATGAGTGAAGTCAGGCACTGGTATATTTTTTTTTCTTTGACAGGCAGAGTTACACAGTGAGGGAGAGAGACAGAGTGAAAGGTCTTCCTTCCGTTGGTTCACCCCCCAAATGGCTGCTGCAGCTGGCGCGCTGCGCCGATCCGAAGCCAGGAGCCAGGTACTGGTTCCCACATGGGTGCAGGGCCCAAGCACTTGGGCTATCCTCCACTGCCTTCCTGGGCCACAGCAGAGAGCTGGACTGGAAGAGGAGCAACCAGGACAGAATCCGGTGCCCCAGCCGGGACTAGAACCCGGTGTGCCGGCGCCGCACGCAGAGGATTAGCCTAGTGAGCTGCGGCGCCGGCCACGTACTGGTATTTTTAAAAGATGCTGGGTGATTCCAAATTTGAGAATCACTAAATTTGGAATCTCAGAAGGCTCTGAGGAGATCTGTAAGAAGAAGAAGGAGAAACAAGCTTTCCTAAAGTCCCGTCTATTAGAGACATCTTTGTCTCCGTAGGGAATGACATAGAAGCATCCTATTACATTTTGGCCGCAGACCCAGTCAAGGGAGGGAGAGGCCTTGGGTGCCTCTTATCCATCTGGCATGCTCCTAGCCTTAGAGTTTCACTGATTGGAAACTTAAGTCCCAAAGTCAACATTATAAACTACTCCATTACTGGAATAACTTACCAAAAATATTTTAGAAATTACTCCATAAATAATGCAACTTCTTCCTCTCCATCTTCATTCTAATAACCTCTATTAAGCATAGCTTGAGAAGGTGGGTTATACAAAGGTTTCTAGATGATCTAGGGCCGGCCTGGATTATTACAGGTGTATTGTTCTGTTTCAAAAGTAACACCCCCCCTACACCTAGCTGGCATTTCAATTTTTTTTATATTCACTCCCTTTTTTTCTGAGAAATCTCTTAGAGAGATTTTACTTAAACTTGGTATAATAAGCAGCTTCTTAGCCAAACAGTAAAATGAAAGGAAAGGAACTGCATCTTTCCTCTCATTAAACTTGAACCCAATTTGACCTTTACAATAAGCCTGGCTGCATTGTGAGAGGATTTTTAGAATGCCTCTCAATTGCAAGTTTTCGAGTGTTACCTTGTTCAATATTTTGACCTAAGCTTTCTCTTGGGACATTTTCTTATAAATTAAAAACATTGTTTAAAATGCATTATTGGAGTAACATTAAGGTAATGAGAAGAGGCAGCCTATCAGACAAGATAATCTACTTCTTCTCAATGATGTCATTTTTATTACATTAAAGGTTGTTTGTTCAAAGAGACCTGAGGAAGACAAGGATTAACCCTGCACATCAAATCTTGTTTCTCATCAAGCCAATTTCCTATTTGGTTTTTATACTACAAGAATCAGATCCACAGTAGCAGTTCTGTTGGGGAATAACAATGGGGAAATTTGAGCTATCTTTGATATTTATCTTTGCTTTTTAATTTCAGAGGAATCTCTTTTGAGTAAGATGAATTTGTGCTATTTATGTATGTTACTGAATGTACAGAAATCCATGGAAAGGACCATAATTCTTTCACTATTAAGCAAAAATAGAAGAGGAAGAGTGAGGACTCATTACATTTGAGACACTGGCTATTCTGGACCTAAGTGTACACAGACACGTAGCATTAAATTCAGTTAAGAATAACCAATGAACAGCAAGCTACATGCAAAGATTACCTCTCACCCATGATGTAAAGTTTCCACTAGGCAACATCTGGAGACTGCACAATCCAGATGAGTGAAGCAGAAGAGCGGAGGCAGGAAACCGTACTCAGGCCTGGCTCTTTACAAACACAGCTTTTGCTGCATCAATTCACTCTGCTTCACAGTTTTCCAGCCCCAAGTAGGATCACTGGGTTCTCGCAAGTCACAGAGTCCCTTCCCTATCTAGGGCCTTTGCTCAGACTCTTTCTGTTGCTGCAATGTGGTGCTTCTGGCTTCTCGCCTGCTGGCTCTCTCTCAGACTTCAGATTTTAATTAAAATAATGTCCCTTCCCATCCCCCTTACTCTAGAGTTAGTCTCTGACTTGGCATTCGAGTTATTTCTGAGTCCTCTTCTGGGACTTGACATCTAATAAATAAATATTTGTGAAATTAATAAAGTGCTTCCTCCAAAAGTTAATAAATCAATAAATGCTTCTTTCAGCTAAAAAAGCAGATATCGTATCAGTCCTCAACTTAATTTTAGTGACAAATATCAACTATAGTTTTGGTCACACACATGCATTTGATAATGGATCAAAGAATCTAATAATTAGTTCAAGTCATTCAGGATCAGGTGTTGCCTTCTAAGAGTGACATGGGATGACATACAGAATTTTAAGCAGGTGACATACTGAGCAACTTGTGAGCCAGACCTAAACATTCCATTTCACAAAAACGTGACTGTCTCCAAATGTCCCATTCATCTATTCAGTAGGCACCTCTCCTGCTTTATGAATCTTAACAATCTCTTCAATTAGATTTTAAGCTCTTAAAGAACAGGGGCCACTCTTTTACTAATAATAGCAAACATTACTGAGTATTTACTATGTTGTGGTCATTGCGCTATGAGAGTGGGCATTTGCTCTAGTGGTTAAGATGCCCATGTCACATACTAGAGTACCTGCTCTGGCTCCTAATGGCAGCTCCATTCTAATGCAGACCCTGAGAGGCAACAGTGGTGGCTCAAGTATTTGGGTTTCTCTCTCTCTCTCTCTCTCTCTCTCTCTCTCTCTCTCTCCCCCCCTGCCTCTCAAATAAATAAATAAGTAATTTAAAAAATATGCACTGGAACCATAGTTTGAACCCAGGCAGAATGACTAGACAGCCTGTATAAACTCTTTCCTGAAACCCGGGTCTGACACTTCACAAGGCCTTTGGCAAGTTGCCTCATTTTCTTCCTCTGAAGCATCGGGGAGGTAGCAGCATGTACACCTCCTTCCCCCCACCTCCCGTTGTAGTGAAGATGAACAGTCTTTGCCCGTAAATTGCCTAGCACAGCGCCTGAAACACGTAGATATCCTAAATGTCAGATGTTATTGTTGCTTATAGGAAAGTTCATTTTATCACGGAAAGTCCCCCGTCCTTGGCAAAAAGTTCAAAATGGGATCAAATGGCAGGCCTAGGACAAGGAGTCAGCCTGGTTCCTGGGTAGTCACTCTCTATTGCCCTGTGTCTCTTTCAGAGCCCACCTCAAAAATGTCCCCTTCTGTTTTGCAATTGCTTCCCCTACCCCACCCCCCACTACATTCCAGGAAATCATTCTCCTTAGTTAGGAGATGTGGTGCAGAAACCACATATGTGTTTTTACTTGTTGCACATTCTTCTGCGTTGGCCAGTGCCCTGTGTTCCCTATTTGTTATGAAGTTTTATAACCATCTCTGTTTTTTTAGAGCTAATATTTGATGTTTGAAGATAACTTTGGCATGGCTAGAACGTCTTGCCTCGCTGAATGAAACTCTAACATTCAGCGCCCCCTGCTGTCTTTCACAGGAAAGCGCATCGACTGAGAAGGTTTGATTCGCTGATCTTGAATGTTGCTTATCGAGGTCTAAATAGAAATGGGTGTAAATGTCCTCAACTTGAAATTAGACCCACGTCTTAGCTGTCCTTGAACTCATCCTCTTGAATTTTAGTTTTTGCGCTGCCTTTGTAAATTCATTTTTGCTTAATTATAGTTTTCTCACATTTGCTTTCCTTACATTTGTTTTAGGGAGTCTTGTTTTGGGGGGTTTGAACTTGTTTTTGTTTTACTCTTGGCTCTGTATCACTTTGGCGAAGAACGGAGAGGAAGAGGGCAAGTGATCCTGGCGTTAGATTCGGGGACCCTCGGAGGAGGACAACCCCACCGGTGTGAGCCTCCAGCCCTTGCAGCCAATGGGATCTCGGTGCATGGGTGAGTGTCAGGCGGAACTAGCCAATGAACGTGCGCCTTCGGCAACGCAGGCCAGCTTCTCCAACTGGGTCATATAAAGTGGCCCGAGGTGTCCCGGAACTGGACTGGCCCTGGCCGGGGTGATTGCGGCGGTTGCTGGGGTTCAGGGGAGCTTCGCTCCGGCCCCGCAGCCCAGGCAGCAGTGCGGCCAGCAGCCAGATGTGCACGGAGTCGCCGAAGCAGATGACAGCGAGCAGCCCGGAGACCACGGGCGCCTTCAGGAACTAACGTGACCTGCTCCTGAAAACAGGTTGCCTGCGGAGCCCCGGACGCCCCCGACGGCGCTGACCGCCACCCGATGAACGGCGGTGGCAATGGCGCGGGGACGCGGGGTCGGTGCTGCGGAGTGGTGAGGGTTGGCTGCTTGGCTTTGTCGCCGTCCGGGAGCAGGGGTTGCGCTCAAAGTCCTAGCCCCTGTTTTCACTAATCTCTAATTGATAGTTAGCATTTCTTTCCGTTAGGCAAATAGGCAACAAAACAGCAGTATCGGTACCTGCATCTGTCATCTGTGGGAGTCACAGATACCTTAGAAACTGGTACACGGAACACTAATTTGAAATTATGGTAATAAATAGACCTGCCCATAGATCTGATAATCTTTAATATGTTAATAAAGAACATTTATTATATCTAGGTTTAAATGTTTAATAATCTGACAACTGTATTTCAAGAAAATTGGCATCCTGTGCAATCTTATTTTGTGCATTTTCCCAGAATGCCAAAGGAATCCATGTGACATTGGAAGAGTCCCTGCCTTGGATCATGAGTGGACAGTTCTACAAATAGGTGGAGTTGGGGCCCTGTGCTGTGACATAGTAGGCTAAGCTTCCGTCTGCCGTGCTGGCCTCCTATATGGGTGTAAGCCTCCCATAGGGGTGCCAGTTGCTGTTCCGGCTGCTCCTCTGCCTATCCAGCTCTTTGCTATGGCCTGGAAAGCAGTAGAAGATGGCCCAAGTCCTTGGGTCCCTGCACCCACGTGGGAGACCCGGAGGAACCTCCTGGCTCTTGGCTTCTGATTGGCCATTGGCCATTTGGGGAGTGAACCAGCAGATGGAAGACCTTTCTCTCTGTCTCTCCTTATCTCTGTCTGTAACTTTACCTCTCAAAGAAATAAGTAAAATCTTAAAAAAAAAAAAAAAAGAAAAAATAAGTAGAGGTGAACAGGCTTGGCTGCAAACTTACCTGGTGCTCCAGCCTTACCATTGCTGGAGTAAGCAGCACCTGGTGGCCTTTGAGTTAAGAGGACTGTGGCCCCCTTTGCCCAAGAACAACCTGATTCCCACATGGGCAAGAGTATATACAAGAGTATGGAATTCTCATAATATGCGAAGAGTTTTTCTTTTAGGTTTGGGTGAAATACCTTGAGTAGTAGTATCCCGAAGCTTTTTCCAGCTTTTAACACTCCAGTGGCAGGATGAGCTGTATCTTAAGTCCAGACACTGAGATCCAGGGGGAAATCATTTAATAGTTCACATCAGTTTAAGATAATGAGGTGCCCCATGGGGGTGTTAGTTTTGTTCTGAATAGGGAAATTTTGCTGGGATCTGCAGAGGAGGAGGCTGGAGCAGGGAAGAGCATAGAAGGGGTGGAAAGGACAGCAGGGAGAACTCTGAGCCAAACCCCCGGATGCTGCTTCCTCTCCCCCACATTACTGTCATGCCATCTACTCTCCCGTGAATCTTGTGGGACCTTATTAACTTCTTAGGATCAGTTTAGCCTTTTCATAAGAAACATACGTCCCTGAAACATTTGCATGTGCAAGGGATAGATTCGGCAAACAAATGTCATGAGACAATGAATGTTCTCAATTTTATTTTATTATGAGGAATTCTATAATTCCAGTCTCACAGAATCCCCAGAGCTAGACGACAGCTTTCTCTAAAGGGCTGTTGTGTAAGGTTGAGGGTGGGAGTTACTTGTAATTAGACAGGAAAGCAAACCTGGAGCGACATGAGAAATTACTTGGAGGCACAATTTCAACTGAACTTAAGGTTCATTCCCGAGAACTGATTATCTTGGACTAGATAAGACTTAAAGTGCTTTCCAACTCTGGGATTCTATACCATTCCCTAGCTAGACATTCTGCAACTGATCCTCCCCTGGGCATGGCTCTATTGCTAAGAAAAGGGCAGTCCCCTAATCTCTTCAGGGAACTGAGTGCTGTAAGGAGGTAAAATAAATCTTAGTTTTATTCTAACAAGGGAACACAAGCCAGCAAGTCCTGGACCTGACGCATAAAACCAGGATCCTGATCTGATCACATCTATGTAGCCCCCTCAATAGGGTAATGAAAGGTGCTTGCGGTTTGAAGTCAACAAACTCGGGTTTCGGGTGTTTTACTGGTCATGGAGGGGAGGGCGGTTGCCGAAGCGAGTCTTGTAGGTTCTTTCCCTCAGCTTAGTATAGAGATAAAAAGCTGGGAAACAATTTGCAAAGAGGCAGAAACTTTTATTCTATTGGCAATCGACAGAGAAAGCGTCTGGTCAGAGAGGAGACCAGGCAGAGTGTCCGAGGCGGACACTGGCTACAAGGAACTGTCCCGGGTATTTAAGGCATTACTATTTTTTTCACTGGGTCATTCTGTAGGGATACCCATTGGACAGGGGTTTCACATATGTATGTTGATTGGTTTGGGGCTCATGGTGATAGCTGGGGTCTCCTGGAGACTCTCTTTAGGGGTTCAACCCCCTCCTCTGCTAGCTCTGGGTGGAAGATTGCAACTAACTTGAAGGCCATGGTTTAAAACCACAAGGCCACACAAGATAGCCAGGGTCTCCTGGAGCCGGTGAACTCTCCCCAGATGCTCAGCCCCTTCCCTTGCCAGCTTTTAGTGAAAGCTTGCAGCCACCCTGAAGGTGTGAGTTAAAGCTACAAGGTCACATATGCAGCACAAGAAGCTATTAGTGGCGAGATGCCAGTTGGCCTGGAGACAGGCTTTCCAGCCACAGCTGACACCCTGCTTGTGAAGGACATTCTACCTATGTGAAGGGCCCACAGACTCCCAGCCCCATTGGCGGGCCTCAAATCTCCCTTCTTCAATCCACACCCTACTACTGTAGGGACTTGGGCATTGATGTGGCTCTGGCTGCTTCCTGCTGACAGGGGGTTGTCGTAAGCGCCCTTAGGGTGGGTGTGAAAAGTCTGGGGTGGTGGTGGCGGCCGTCCAGGTTGCTGTGGTAGAATGCAGTCTCCATGCAGGGTTCCGTCTGAAGGACCATTTGCATCTTGATGGATTCTAATCTTTGAGAGACAAATTTGACAGGCAGTTAGAGATACATGGGCCAAACATTAGAGAAAGAAATAGCAGTCAGAATGGGCCCAGCAGACAAAGTACCCATGCTGTCGACGGTAACCAGGATTTTAGTTGTTCCCAAACCTGACCTGTCAGGTGGATTTTAACTGACAGGCTTTTTAAGCACACTGCCTTTTGTAGGCTGTGAGCTGTGCATGTATCTACAGCTCCTGAGGTGTTGATCTAGAAGCAGCAAGAGACGTTTGCTATGGCACATACTCCTCCCTGTTGGGCCAGCATATAGCCCAGAGCAAGTCTGAGCATCCTCTAAGATAGAAGAACAGCTGGACATAAGGAATTTCTCCCCACTTGCCTTCGTGCCTACAGAGACGATCTAGTTGGAGTATGGTGTTATAATTGACACTTCCTGTGGAGGCCAGGTCTCCCCATCCCTAAGGGGTGTTTGGGCCAGGCCTTGGTGCAGATGAAAGTCAGGACCTTCTTCCTGAGGATCTGGGGGGTCAAAGTGACCCCAGCTCTTGAGGATGCATCTGAGAGGTGTCATAAAGGAGAGAGAATGGGTTGTCTAGAGAGGTTGCCTCCTCTCTCTGTACAGCCCTAACATGAGGACTGAGCCTGGCAGGCACTGGGAGGCAAACCCAGTCCGGCCCCTGGGGCACAGCCCTCCCTGAGTGGTCATTACAAGGGTGGCCTTGCTATCCACCAGGACAGGATTGCCACTCCTACCCTTGTCTCGGTTTATCCCGGCCCTGGTTTCCACTCCTTTGCCTCTTACGATGAGGGTCTTGATGAAACGGTCTATTCCCACCGTAATGTTGCTGCCTTCAACTCTCAAAGCAGCCTAACTCTCATACCAAACCATTAGAAGGTCGAGCCAGTCCTGACTGGTGGTATCTGGAAGACCTTCAGAATCCATGCCTGCTGGACCCTCTGTTCTGTCAGGACTTAGGCAAGCGAAAAAAAGTCACTATGTCCCAAGAACAGCCTCACGTTTTTCTTCCAGGCTGTTTACAAGAATCTGTCTCAGGACCCCTTGTGGGGACACAGGGCGCATGTACAGTGACCTGACAGAGAGGGATAAAAATCTTTTGGGACTTATCTGAGCATTTTACAGAGTCCTTTTACTGTTACAGAAACCCGGTGCGGGGGGCGGGGGGACTCTCTTTGTTCAAACAGGCACCGGAAACAGTGGAGGATCGGGGCAGTTTATTAAACCCAGTGGGCTCAGGGGGAAATATTTTTTTGACAATTGAACCCTGAGGTTCATTAGCATCATACCTTAACCCTTACAGCACTGTGTCTAAATTGCAGCCTATGTGACTTAGGACCACACTTCCAAAGATCAGTGGGTCTGGCATGTTTACAAAGGAGGTACCTGGGTCAGATTTATAGGACAGATTTATGACTGGAGAGCGGAGTTCAGGACATCTTTCCTCCCTAGACAAGATAACTGCATACAACTGCTTTACCAGATAATTGGGAGCAGCCACTCTTTCGAAGTGTCAGGGGTTTGTTTTCTTTCCTTTAGCTCTGGTTGTAGTCTTATTATTGCAAAAACCTCATTAACAGAAGATAAAATTCTAATTCTATGTCAAAGAAAAACAGACTAATAGCTTTTATATCCAAAAATTTCTTTCTTTCATAACCTTCTGTGACTTCCTCACACCTTCTGTAACTTACTCAAACCTTTCTTTTCCATTCCAGTCTAAGCTAGTCATTAGGATAAAACAGTTCTTACAAACCATGTCCTTTTCCTATTTAAAAAATCTCTTTTCTTTTTTTTAACTTTCCTTACCAAGAACACACTTTTATGCTTGTGACCTTTTCCCATCTGATTGCCTTGATCTACATTTCAGCCTTAAACAGTTTTAAATTATTTTTCATAAGAAACCCCAACAGTCTCCTTGCAATGATGGATAAACTTCACCGCTAAAAATCCTTTTGCCAGCTGAGATACGGGCAAACCCAAACACACTCCTTTGAAAAGCACACCAGTCCCGCAGGAAGCAGCCGATCTCACCCAACCTCGGTTTCCCGCACAGGCGGAAGTCAGTATAGACGGTCCGGCCGCCTTCTGGGATGGAGCTCCTCTGGCG